GAAAGTTCAGCTGAAGAGTGCAAAACGCTCTAAGACGGCTGCTGATGGCAACCGCATTATGGGTGTGGAAGGATGAGGATGACAAAAGATATCCATCCCGACCGAGACCAGGGTATGATTCCGGCTACAATCGAAGAGAACACTAAGCATGGGTTCTTCGGGTCTGAAACTTAGAATCTCTAAACTTCCATTGAGATAAGCTGGAGCGACTCTCAAAGACGCGAAGACCATATTAATGCGTCCTCTCAATCTACCACAGCAACCTGGCTTCTAGCCTAGTTAACCGCATGGCAGAAGAACGACCTGACTTCGTCCTCATTCAGGTGTCATGGGTTAATGGAGGGCTATTTGGGGACGCAGGGTATAATTTATACATGGCGCTGCGTAGGTAGGCTAGGGCATATATTGTCAGTAAAAGCTTAACGTCTTTTATTACACACTTATAAATAACACACCTACAGCAGTAAGCTGGGAACGGCTGAAATACCGGAAATAAGCTTTATTGTGCAATAAAGGTAACATTTTTAATCAGAAACCGACAGGTGTATCGACATAACACTGTGTCGGAAGAACTGGTGGATAAACACATGGAGAGAACTGGAGGTACACCGCTAAATTGAGTGTATAATTAAAGAGATGTAGTTGGGAAGAAATTTATGAATCATGGAACTCAACCAAAGAACAAAGAGAATCAGACAAGAACAGTTTACAGATTCTTGCCGTCAGCAGCAAGGGCGGCTTGTCCAATAACACAGTAGGGGAAAATTAGTCCTGGTGGTCTCCCATTAAAGAAATTAAGAAAAAAAGCAAACCTATTTTGGATTAATTTTGGACAAAGCTTTCTTGAAACAAAGGAGCAAGGGTAAAGAAAGCAGCTAAAGCGCTTTACACGTCTAAAAATAGGTAGGATGAATGAACGTGACGCCTCGAGAGCTCTATACTTACACGCAATATAACCGATTATGACTTACGATTTGGTATGATGGAATTACAGAAAAATACGCGATTAGAAGTATGGAAATTATATAAGAGCAGCCAGGATTTGATCTGTTCTCACAGCGCAGACACTAAACGTAATTTCTACGCTATGCAACAGACCTGTTTTGCAAGCAAATGGCAGCGAAGTCAGCTCTGAGACTGAGGGCCTCTACTAGTCGCCGATAAAGGGCTTTCTATGATACTGAAAGTTCCTTCTTCCCAACCACGAGTTTTCGAAATCCTACAGAAAGGAGTGGGAAAGGGCGTAAACAAGGAACAGGGATACGCATGGTTACAACTAATAACAGAGCAGGCGGCGGTTCTTCTCAGCTAAGCTAGATACCAAAATCGCCTTTCGCTTCTAGACCACTACGGTGTCTTCCAAGCGGAGGTCATCGCAATTAAAGAAGCCTTCATGCAAAAGTGTGATCAAAGAATATATTTATATAAAGACACCGGCTTTGAAATCTCCTCTCTGGATTTCGTCTAAGACACTGAAAGAACCGGATCTTCTGGCGGCTCTGACCCCTATTTTACGTTAAACCTGCAATGGGTCCGAGGACACGTAAATGGTAAGGAAGACATGCCTCTGGCTGCAAGACATGCCTCTGGCTACTTGTAGCCAATCGTAATAAGTCATACAGCTCAGTCTCAGTAGAATCACTGACGCCGCTCCAGCAGGCAACGTGGCAAGAATGGATATGACTGACATGCCGACTGTAAATTCAAGGGAGAATGATATGAACGCTCAGTAGAGTACTAACACCACTGTCTAAAGGAAGACATGCAAGTACTTGCAGCCATATAAGACATATTGTAGAAGCTGTCAGGAAGTAGAAGAGAGGAAAATTAAACATCTTATGCGATTGCGCAGCACATATAGGAAAATAATTGTTGTTGTTGTTGTTGTAACGGTTACCTACTCCCGTTTGGTGATAAATTCAATTCGTTGTCGTCGAGTCTCATCTAACGAGGCCAGGAAACGAGCTGTTTCGACGGGTCGGACCATGGGGAGAAGGGTGTTAGATGAGTGGGTTTTTGGCATCAAAGTGGTTGTTCATGCGAACTTATTGCACGCAGGACATGTGTTTAGTATGTCGGTCTATTCTGGATTAGGAGTTTAACCGCACAAGTATCCGAACGAATTGCCGCAGGGTCATCTGGTTCGCGGAAGTATCTATTTCTGCTGTGGTCTATTACGCTTCTGAGAGGTCTGTTAATGTTGATGGCTCCACTGTGAATGGTCGTTCCTTCTGAAGTTCGTTGCCTCCGAAGTCCTGTTAATGTCGTCGACGGTCAGGAAAGACCTCTGATGTTCCTGAGGCGGCTCCATCAGGCGAGGGGTGCAGTTTGCTAGAAACTAACTTGGAGAGTTCGTTGTGTTATTAACCGGAAGCATACGCTCACATGGGGTGATGTGGAACATCAGAGGCATCCGTGATAGTTCGGATGCGTGTTCAGACAGGTCTGAAGCTTCTTCTTCTGTGTCACTGCATCCGTTCTTCTCTTTCCCAAGAGCTACCGGCAAAAGCGATGGTTTGTTGCGGCTCTCTGTAGCGGCAGGTGATGCAGACTGTCCAAAGTGACGCCTAAATTTTAGGATTTTACTGTCGGAATTTTGTGCATCTGACTGAAATGTTCAGGTCAGTCTGTATCCTTCCTCAATTTGTGAGATAGTCTGTGGATTTGTGGGAGAGAGTGAGATTGACGGAGATCGAAATATATAAAAATGAAACTAGTGAGGAGAAACCCCCGTGGAACCCCTGTTTAATTTCCCTAAGTTTGGAGTTTGACCTAAAACTGATGCGGTGGAATTCCATCAGGATGGTCTCACCCAGCCTTGGTGGGTTGATTGTCTGGGTATCAAATGCGTGTGTGATTGACTGTGTCAAAAGCTTTGACAAGTCCATTACGAGATTCCTCGCAGGGTGGCTCTGGTTCAACCTGAACTATCTGCGTTTATGACGCTAAGTGCTTGATGGTGGTACTGTCACTTGAATGCAGTGATATCTGACTCAGATGGTGACAGATAGAGTAACAAGTCAATGTCTTCACTACAGAAGGAGAGTTATCGGGCATAAGACTCTCTTTGTTGGCGTTTCCAGTTCCAGTAGTGGACCTCTTCCAAACATCGGGTGAAGATTGAGATATCGACAGGTTGAGGACCTTGGTGAGATAATTTACTCCGTTTGGCCTAGGTGTTTAGCATCAGCATGCTTATTCCGTCACCAATGGATTTAGACATTGGCCTTTGATGACACTCTGACCTCCCATCGGTGAAAGTATGTGGTGCGCAGTCTTTTGGCATTTTGCGCACCGTCGGACATCGTGGCATTGTGGGTCAAAGGGTGCAGTATTGTAATGGCTGAATAGCTCGCGCACTTCGGGTCCGAGCATGACCATCAGGTGAATTTCAACCCGATCGTCATGTCTTCTCAGATTTGACAGGGTCTTGACAGTAGTCCAAACTTACTCACACGGTGGAGGTTGCAGGACTTCATTCTATCCATTTGTCGCTGTGATTTTGCCGAATCTCCAAATTGAATCCTTAATTCGGGATACAGGGTCGGATAGCTGGATGTCGCGCTCGTTTGCTAAATATACTGCTGGCTGAAAGTTGGGCGGAGTTCCGCGATTCTTCCAGCGGTATAAGCGAGCAGTAGTTTGTTAAAGTTAACATAAGTGCGGTTGTCCACAGAAATTAAGTCAAGGTTTCTCGATCAAGATAATATGGGGCATGTCTGTGATGAGGTTGCGCATGCGGGTGCTCTATTTATCAGACCACCGCTGCGAAACAATATCGGCGAGGTTGGTGCCCATAATTCTGGTAGCAAATGTGTCGTAGTGCAGAATATCAATCGTCTATCTGTTCCCAGCATCCCCTACGATCGTTTGACAGGCAGAATGCCAAGGATCGTGATGCGCGTGTAAAGTCGCCTTGCGCAAACGTTAACATGTGTATCGGTGGTAACAGCCCAGCATGTAATGTATTTATTTCGGCTCGACATCGCTGACAGACGGCTTGGCCTTCAAGGTGGTGTCCTGAGTCGATGTCAGCATCGATGTGTGCGGCGGCGGCAGCAAAGCAAACCACCGTTATAAACAAATCGCCCGTAACGTTAAAACACGCTCACGCGGCGTCCAGCTGGCGCGGGCGGCCTGAATATCATTACGCTCCCGCTCGTGTATAATGCCTACCGACCGTGCGGTGGTATAATCACGTTCGTCAATCGCTACGTGGTAATAAGTACTGGCAAGTAATGGTGCCTTCTTCTCCACATGGGCGGTTATCACGCAGTGATGCGGCGGCACCACCGCATGATGCGGGCAAACTCCACCGCATAAAACAGCAGCGGCAGTCCCTATTAATGCAAATGGGCATTTTGATTATCACAAGAAATATATTTATATATACAGACAGCCAGGCGGCTTTGAAATCTCTGCTGTCTCATAGGATTTCGTCTAAGACACTGAAAGAATGCCAGGATCTTCTAGCGGCTCTGACATCCTATTTTACGTTAAACCTGCAATGGGTCCGAGGACACAGTAATATGGTAAGGAAGACATGCCTCTGGCTGCAAGACATGCCTCTGGCTACTTGTAGATACTTAATCGACAAACATGTCATTAACATAGCTCAGTCTCAGTAGAATCAGTCCTTGACTTGCTCAACTAGCAGGCAAACGTGGCAAGAATGGAATATGAGCTGACAATGCCGACTGTTAAAATTCAAGAGGAATGATATAAGAACTCTAGTAGGAGTACTAACAGGCCACTGTCTAAAAGGAAGACATGCAAGTAGACTTGGCACGCCATATAACGACTATTGTAGAAGCTGTCAGGAAGTAGAAGAGGAGGAGACCATTAAACATCTTCTATGCGATTGCGCAGCACTATATAGGAAAATAATTGTTGTTGTTGTTGTTGTAACGGTTACCTAGTCCCCGTTTGGGTGATAAATTCCAGATTCGTTGTCGTCGAGGTCATCTAACGGGAGGCCCAGGAAACGAGCTGTTTCGACGGGGTCGGACCATAGGGAGAAGGGTGTTAGATGAGTGGGGTTTGTTGGGCATGCAAAGAGGTGGTTAGTGTCATGCGGAGACTTATTGCACGCAGGACATGTGTTTAGTATGTCGGGGTCTATTCTGGATAAGTAGGAGTTTAACCTGCTACAGTATCCGGAACGAAGTTGCGCGAGGGTCACTCTGGTTTCGCGAGGCAACTCGAGCTCTATGTCTGCTATGGGTGGTGGTTTGACTCCTATTACGCTATTCACTGAGAGGGAGTCTGTTAAGGTGTTGATGGCTCCACTGTGAATGGCGGTCAGTGCCTGTCTGAAGTTCGTTGCCTCCGAAGTCCTGTCTAATGTCGTCGACGTAGTCAAGGAAAGACCTCCTGATGTTCCTAGGAGGCGGCTCCGCTACAGTCAGGCGACTACAGGGGTGGTTTCTACGAAAACACCCCAGTAGAAACTGCTTGGAGAGGAGTTCGTTGTGTTAATTAACCGGAAGCATACGGGCCTCACTATGTAGGTGTTCGATTGGAGACATCAAGAGGCATCCCGTGATAGTTCGGAGTGCAGTGTTCAGACAGGTCTGAAGCTTCTTCTTCTGCGTGTCACTGCATCCGTTTCTTTGTCTTTTCCCCAAGAGCTACCGGCAAGCGACTAGAGGATTTTGTTGCGGCTCTGTACTTTGGCAGTTATCGCGGTCGTGTGAGGAGTGATAGAGCACAGACTGTCCAAAGTGACGCCTAAATTTTAGGATTATTTACTGTCGGAATTTTTGTGCCATCGACTGAAATGTTCAGGTCCAGTCTGTACTCCTTCGTCCAATTTGTGAAGATAGTCGCTGTGGATTTAGTGGGAGAGAGTGTTAGTTGCAGAGAAGCGAGAAAGATCGGAGAGATCGAAATATAAAAATGAAACAGTAGTGAGGAGAGGAAACCGCCCTGTGGAACCCCCTGTTTAATTTTCCTAAGTTTGGAGTTTTGACCTAGAAACAGTACGGATGAATGCCGACCGCTCAGGTAGTTCATAGTCCACCGCTTCAGCCCTGGTGGGAGGGTTGATTGTTCTAGGTCCTCAAGTAGCGTTGTGTGATTGACTGTGTCAAAAGCTTTTGATAAGTCCAACGCTACGAGGATCGTCCTCTCGCAGGGTGGCTTCTGGTTCAAGCCATGAACTATCTGGGCGTTTATGACGCTAAGTGCTGTGGTGGTACTGTGCACTTTTCGGAAGCCATGCTGATGATCTGCTAGGCTCAGATGGTGAGTGAATGACGGGAGTAACAAGGCCTCAAGTGTCTTCACTACTGGGGAAAGGAGAGTTATCGGGCGATAAGACTCCTCTTTGTTGGCGGGTTTCCCAGGTTTCAGTAGTGGGACCACTCTTCCGACTTTCCACACATCGGGTATTTGAAGATTGGATATCGACAGGTTGAGGACCTTGGTGAGATAATTTACTCCCGTTTGGCCTAGGTGTTTTAGCATCAGCATGCTTATTCCGTCAGGGCCAATGGATTTAGACGATTTGGCCTTTTTGATGACACTCTGAACCTCCCCATCGGTGAAAGTATGTGGTGCGCAGTCTTTTGGCATTTTGCGCAGCCGTCGGGTAACACATCGTTTGGCATTGTGGGTCAAAGGGTGCAGTATAAATTGTCGGCTGAAATAGCTCGCGCACTTCTTCGGGTCCGAGGAGGCATGACCATCGAATTGAATTTCAACCCGATCGTCATGTCTTCTCGGATTTGACAGGGTCTTGACAGTAGTCCAAAGCTTACTCACACCGGTGGAGAGGTTGCAGGACTTCAGGTGCCCTATCCATTTTGTCGCTTATGATGATTTACCATTTGCCGAATCTCCAAATTGAGATCCCTTATTCGGGGATCACAGGGATCGGAATAGCGTAAGGTGTCGCGCTCGTTTGCTAATATAGCTGCTTCGGCTGGGAAATTAGGGCGGAGTTCCGCGATTCTTCCAGCCGGTATGAAGCGAGCAGTAGTTTGTTAAAGTTAACATAAGTGCGGTTGTCCACAGAAATTAAGTCAAGAGGTTTCTCGATCGAGATAATTATGGGCCGATGGTCTGATGCGAGAGTTAGCATAGGTCGCCAGGTTATACTATTTATCAGACCACCGCTAGCGATGGTAATATCTGGCGAGCTATTACAGGTGCCCATAATTCTGGTAGGGGCTTCGTCATTCATTGTGCAGAATGTCGAATCGTCTATCTGTTCCGCCAGCTTCATCCCCCTACGATCGTTTGACAGGCAGGAATGCCAAAGATCGTGATGCGCGTTAAAGTCGCCTTGCACCAAACGTTCGAGTGATATCCTGTTGGGCAACATGTAACTGGGGGGATGTATATGTTTAATATTTCGAGCTCGACATCGCCTGACCGGACAGCTATACCCTGACATTCTAAGGTAGTGTCCCTACGGTCGATGTCAACATCGATAAGACGATATTGCACGGTGTTGTGCAATATGAAGGCTAGGCCTCCACCATTATCTCGCTCGCGATCCTTACGTAAAACGTTGAAACCTGCACAACTCAGAAGATCTGAGCGGCTGTTTAGCTTGGTTTCTTGGACCGCAGATATCGTTACGCGCTCCCGGCTCATTAATGCAACTATCTCCTCGATCTTACTCTAGAGTCCGTTGCAGTTGAATTGTAAGAGTCGCGTTTGTCGCGGGTGTCCAGTCGTGATCCTAGGGGTGAGTGGGGTGCGTGTAGGTGGTGGTTGTTGCAGCTGTACTATCCACATGGGCGGTTGTCGCACTGTGGTGTTGATTGGCGACGCCACTGTATGTGATTGCGGGGGCAGACTCCTACAGCATGGGGCAACGTACGACGCAGTCCACTCTCGTGTGGTGCGCAGATTAGAACACGAAAAAAAGTGACACCAGCCAGTACAAGAATTGCACTTGACTGATGTGACATTCCGGCGTATTGTGGTCTGACACACGGAACAGACTGTGCGAGGAACCAGGAGTTGCTGGGTGGTTCTCGCACGAGGATTGGAGCTGGATGAAGGTTGGGGGGGGAGGTTGGTCAGACTGAAGTCATGCTGTCTGTGTGAGCTCCTTAGGGCCGTGGAGGTCCTATCTTGGCCTTTCGACTGGAGTGGCAGCGCAGTGCGCGAACATGGTGCAGGTTGCACAGCCGTTGAGGCAGATGTCGCATTATTGCGTTGACAGCATGGGGCCACGTAACTTGTGGTCCACTCCCTGTGTGTCTTAAGGCCTGAACAGGTCTTAAGATGGCTCCATCCATTGCATGTATTGCACCTAACAGAGGTGGAGTTTGGATGGAGCCTTTTAGCGCAAACGCAGCAGTAAAATTCCTCGGGGCCCGGGTTGGACTCGATGCCAGCACGGGTCAGGAGGATACGGAGCAACCCTGCTGCTAGGCGTTGCTCCAATGACGACAAACTTAATCTAAAACTCACCGATCCAAACAGGGTTAGATCGCCGAAATAACAGCCCTTGGCCGGATAAAATCCGGGTCAATTCCGGTACCGCAGAACCGGCTGTTGTGGGAATTGATAGGCTTAGGAAAAGAATCGCAGCCATCGGTCGAGGCTTTCTCGACTTTGTCTCGGAAGTTGCACGGATAAAACTTGTCTCACTGATGAAGTTCATTAAAAGTACGAGGTGGTTCAGAAGGGAGCCAATAGAGTGAGGGGACCTTAGTCCCGATGATATCACAATAGGCCTCCTAAAGGCCTAAGTGTGTCGAAAGACAGCCACTCTACCTACCTACCTACCTACATTGTTGCCAAATTTCGTGAAGATATTACATCAAATAAAAAAGTTTGCTATACAAGTATTTTACTTTATTCCGGTTTTTCAGTTTGTATGGCAGCTATATGCTATAGTGATTCGATATCGGTCGTTCCGACAAATGAGCAGCTTCTTTGTGAGGAAAGAACAGGTGCAAAATTTGAGATCGAAACATAAAAAACTGAGGGACTAGTTTGTATATATACAGACAGACGGACAGACAGACGAACATGGCTAAATCAACCCAGCTCATCATGTTGATGATTTATATATATATTTTATAGGGTCTCCGACCTTTTTCTTCTTGGTGTTCCAAACTTCGTGACAAACTTAATATACCCTGTTTAGGGTATAAAAGGAGGATATAGGAACCATAATCGTTGATGAACACTAATAAATCTTTTAGTTTTTTCTTTTCCTTGATAAACCCCGGTGATGGACCAGGTTTTTTTTTAAAACCCACGAAGGCCGCCAACGTAAAAATGAGTTCTACGCTAAAAAGTAACATTGTCATATACCCTCTATGCACATAATGCTTAACATCAATATTATCTAACGGATATTACTATTGTTAATTTTGAAGAAAAGTACCGTTTCGTTTTTTCCATTTGCTATTTGTTTCATATTTGGCAAAAAAAATTCAAGACGGTTTATTGCGAATAAGATTTTTTCCAATCCAGTTATTATTAAATTTTTAATTTTTAAAATGAGTGCAATTTCATCAGGTAAGTTATTATACTTCAAATTTTTTTTTTAATATTTATTAATAATAATTGGATTT